AAAATTGAAATCCTATTGGGCTGAAAGGTGGGCTCTCCCCATGCGCAGGTGAAGGATCGGCTGAAGACGGTACCGTGTACATCTCTCCAAGGGCGGGCGGAGGGAAGAGGTCAGCGAGGTCTGATAGTGGTCGGAGGGGGATAGAAGCATCAATCTTAGTCCAATAGTGGAAGAGAAGATGGTAATCTAGGGTCATCTCCACCTGCTCATCCACTAATTGCCCTTTCCATTCCACTTCTGCCACCCGGCCTCCCTGGTCACCACTCAACCACTCTATGCCAAACTGTTTGATCAACTTTGATGCATTCTCGGATTTCTGACTTAGAGTGCAGGAAAGTCACTTTTTGTTTCTAAAATTCAAAGCTACCAAATTTATACCCTATCGAGTATCTGCAAAGAACAGCTACTCTTTTTGTCTCAAGATATTTGTTTTTTTGCTCATACTTCCTTCTGATAGTAATGCAGGACCTACTATCCTGCCACATGTAGCTGATTCAGATTCACCCTCCTGATGAGTTGATGAAACTCCGCCGACAAAATAGTCGATCACAACMCCATTGAAAAAGAAATCTGGGATGTGCTTAATCATGCAATTTGAAGAAAAAAAGAATCATGATTTTATGTTAGCTTTTTGCGAACAAACGAAAAAATAAAACAAGGCCGGAAGACCATGTGCATGGCTGGAACAGGCGTTCGGGCCCAATGGGATGGCCCTTAAGCCCCCTGCAGCCTGCAGCACGTCTCAAGGTACATCGCAGTGAGGCCAAAGGCCCATCCATACGTGGCTACAATGGAGTTCAAAGGGTCCATGACACATTACAGTGTGTCSGAAGGGCTGTTCCAGCCCCGCACATGGATGCAACGGGTCGATGGCACWTTACACTTTGCTCGAAGGGCTGTTCTAGCCCCACACATGGATGCACAAACCATGTCATTGTAGTGCTTGTRACAGATACAATGGTGACTACAACCAAGTGTGACAGTGTCCAAAGGAGAAGGTTGCAGATTGTYGGTACATTGCCCTGYTGTGCAACAGACGTCTGACACTGGCTTGACGATGGCTCGACGCTGGCACTGTGCGATGACTACGAGAGACTGTTGCATCGAGTGTTGGCGCCTTCCTGGTCGCAAAGAGACAAAAAACAGCCCGTCCTCTAACCGAAATGCATTTGATGCAATCTGCAGCGCTAAAGGCGAGCAAGTCTTAAACATAAACAACGACACCGAAAACTTCCAAAAAATTGAGAAGTCTAATAACAGCGATTGAGCTCCTGAACAAAAATTGGTTGCTGCAACATAACTTACTCACACACTGAACTGAAAGCACGGAACATACGATGCCTAAATATTGAAAAAACAGCACGTGTTCATCTTCGTGGCGAGCCCGGGACGTTACGCAACAGGTAACAGTGAGTCTGAGTTCACTGCATGTGCTTCGGTACGACGCTTCATGCATAGCAGACACCCCACCACACCATGGGAGAATCGACGGACAAAGTGGCACACCGCACCATGGCTCGGGAGAAGAACGACACCGTTAATGCATGACCTGCGTTCAATGCGATCGAACGATAATCCATAGTACGGAGATCCGGGCTTCAAAAAGTGTTTGTGAAGACGAGCATATTTTCAGCGCCTTCCATGCACCCGTTTCCCATAGCCACAAACGAACTCACCTGCGGGGCCGTACTTATTCGCAGGTCGCTTCTCACGTCGCGGCCTCGTATGCTGACCACCCTTGACTTCAGTCTCCCCACCCTCTATGAAACACCCGCGGACGCGTATGCGGGGCTGATCTCGAATGGCGGCCCCATATGTGGCCGCATCCGCGGCCATCCTGGTCCGCGCCGCGGACCCGATTTTACCAGAATTTTCCTGAATTAAATAATAGGTAAAAATATATATATATATATCGTCATATATATATATATATATATGGGGTTGTAGGGAATTTTAAGCCCTACAACCCAATATTCTTTCTTTTGGAATCTGAGTTTGTTTATGATTTTAAAAAAATCAAAAACTAAATTGGATTTAAAGAAAATTAAAAATATATATATAAAGAAAAGCAGGAATTTTATTTGGTCGTTTTTTATCACGAGATATATGGTCCCTGAGTTGACCTGTATTTTTTTTAGAAATGAATTTCTGTTTTTTGCAGGGGTATGAGGTGTTTTAAAACAATGCAGATATTAAAAAAAAAATAAAAAAAAATGCAGATGCAGAATTTCAAAATAAATAAACAGAAAAGGGGTTTGATTGATTGATTGATTGATTGATTGTGAGTGAGTGAGTGAGTGAGTGAGTGAGTGAGTGAGTGAGTGTGTGTGTGTGTGTGTGTGTGTGTGTGTGTG